TTCCGGATCATTAAGTCATTAAGTCCAATATTTTTAGTATTTTAATATTGTATTTAAATTGCAGCTGTTTATTTTCTCCAAGTCTTCTCCAAGTCAGTGCACAGTTATAATTGGCAAGTTAGTTTCACTTTCAACAGCAGCTTCCAAGCCATTTTTCGGCAGCCGCCCTATCTTCTGCCAAAGCTCATAAATCAAAGCAAGTAATTGGTAATAAATTACCTTCTTAGGCTCTCCACGTGCACCAGACTTTCGCCTCCCTTTTGATCCAGAAAGGACAATTATCCATTCATTTTCACTGCTTTTTTGCTATATTTCCACAAGAGCTGGAGGAAAGACGTCTGTTCAACCGGCCATGGTAACTCCGCCCCCCATGAAATGTTTTTGACATGCAATAAAGCAATTAATACTATTTCATAAAAGCATGTGAATAAGCGTCCGAGTTTTGTGACCGTTCTGTAAGACCTTACAAAGGTTTCCCCTCCCACAAAGCGAAAAAGTACCCAATTAATAGAACTTCTGGAAAAAGTGAAAACAATCAACATTAATGAGAAGGTATGAAAAAATATATACAAAACCACTGTGAAGCAAATCTTCCAGAACAGAACACAAAAACCTTTTCAGCAAGAATTCCATAAATTATTTTCATCTAAAACAATGAGTGCAATGTATGCCTTATCTGAAATGCATGGGACCAGAAACATTCAGTATTTTGGGAAGTGGAATATTTGCTTGTGTGTGTGCGTGCACACATACACACATGAGACCTATTGGGAGATGGGGCCCTGCTCTGACAATATACACTTTGTACACATAAAAGGTAAAGGTTTCCCCTTGACATTAAGTCTAGTTGAGTCCAACCCTGAGGGCTGGTGATCATCTCAATTTCTAAGCCACAGAGCTTACCTTCCTACTGGAGCAGTACCTATTGATCTACTTATATGTGCACGGTTTTGCACTGCTAGGTTGGCAGAAGCTGAGTTCACCCTGCTCCCCGGATTCAAACCACCAACCTTTTGGTCAGCAAGTTCAGCAGCTCAATGGTTTAACTCACTGCACCACCGGGGGCTCTTTGTACACAGAGCATATCTATATTATTTCTAAGAATTTTGTACATGAATAGCGTGCAAGCAAATATGTCATGATCGCAGGCACCCATATCAACAATTTTGATCTATTTTTTATTTCTGGATAAAGGATACTCAACCTGTACAGAATGCAAAACTAATAGAAGGTAGCTGGAAAGATCCTATTGTCTTTTGTATATAACTCCTAACTAATTATCTGATAAATCACCCTGAACTTCTTAGCCAGAAGAGCATTCCAACATAAACCTTATTGTTCACCAGGTAAAAATGATAAAACGTACCTATTTCCAAATGGAAGAAAAGTGATAGAGCTACTTTTCGAGTCCCAATTCACCTGCAACCCCAATTCGGCATTGAAATCACATGTTTCAGAAAGCTGGTTCTTCCCCAAAAGAGCAAAGTAAACTGGATGTTTTTTAAACAGTCCAAAAGCCACCAGATATCAAAAATATTCTCACTTATGAACAAAAGAATTGTGTTTTCCAAGAAGATTGGGAATGAGGTATGGATGCATGATTTGCCTATCGAGATTTGGGGATATTCAGAATGAATACTGATTCCTAATAGATATAAGCTTACCTGCAAAGATGTGAATTCTTTAATGCAAGAGGAGTTTGCTGGATCTGGAACAGCTTTACCATTACACTCAGAGAGCAAAATAGAAAGGCACGAGAAAAGCCTAGAAGGAAATAATAAAAAATAACATATTCTCAAACTTCAAGATTTAATATTTTTAAAGAATAATCCAATTACTCAATTTGCAAATACAATCTAAATGCAATGCTATAGTGAGGCTGTTAAAGGCCCCTCCCTAAACTACAAACCCCAGAATTCTGCAGGAGGCAGAAACCGGATTTTAGGTGGATTTTTTCTCTACTGTGATGAGGCCTCAATCAATCACACTCGCCTGAGTGAGGATTAGCAAGTTGTTTAAATCGGTCTACTGCAGCTGGGACTCTCCAGATCTTGCTAAACTACAGTTGTCAATATTGCTTCACTTTGGCTATGTTGTCGGGAGCTGTTGGAAATTATTGGCTCAACATTGCCACCTGCATAATTCTGACCTCTGCTTTAGCCCATCATCTGTTTTTTGCTCACTGGTATAACTACAAAGAAAACCAGCATGCCCTAAGGTGGCAGATTTTGCAATGCCTTTGGAAAGCAAAACACTGTTTATTATAATTACCACCATGAAAGTACCATCAGAATTTTTTAGCTTGGGTTCCAAAAATGAGGAAGAGAGGAAACTGGACTTATTTAGGTCATGTCTTTAGGGTCAGTGACTCTTCCTTAGGGGCCTTTTTGGGAAAGAAAGCATTCTTCTCTTGCATCTCCTTCCGCTTTGTTTCTGCATCAGCTTTCTCTCTCTTTTTCTTCCCTGTCTTCTGGACAGTGGCTGCATCTCTAGAGGACAGGATGGGGATCTCCTGGCTCACCAGATGTTGCTGAACTGCAACTGCCAGCAGGCACAGAAAGCATAGTCAATTATGAGGGATGATGGGAGTTGCAGTTGGACAACATCCACAGGATCACAGAAACCCTGCCTCTAATGTAGAGGCAACACTATACATTTATGAACTGAAGCATCCATATTTATTTTGCCAAAAGTAAAGAAGTTTATAAGGCACTGCATTGGTTTTCCAACAACACAAATGTAACATTTGTGGTATTTCACAAGCAAGGACTGATGTGTACTTCTGAAATGTATCTCTGTATGTTAATGGATGTGCAAAATGATTAATACTCAGCTTCCATAACTTGTGTGAAAATTATATTGAGTCAATGAAAGCTAGCACAATTAGGACCTGTGAAAACTTCAAAAGCTATACTAAAACAAATTCCTACTGTATGTCTAATAGGGAGGATCTGTGTGTTTTTTTATAGTATTTGACAAAAACTTTAGAAAGCCATGGTTTGAATTCCCATTCAGTGGATGACCTTGAGCAAGTCACACTCTCTCGCCGTTAGAGGAAGGGAACAGCAAATCTTCTGTGATCAATTCTTGCCAATAAAACCTAATGATAGGGTAAGCCTGAGGATCTCCATAAGTTGAAAATGGCTTGAAGACTCCCATTGTACTCACAATGAATGGACCAATAGATGTCCTCATGACACACAGTGGCTTCTTAGGGGATGATTTACACCTGGCTAACTGCCTGGTGTAGATGAGCCCTTCGCCTACTTCCTTAGATGAATGAAATGCTGAAGGATGTACAGTATCTTTATAGGCAGACTATATACAGTATATGAATACCTATAGCAATATGAAATGTGCAATTATTTTGATGAGATGACAAGTTCCATTTTAACTTTGGTTGCTTGGACTCAAAGAAAGGAGGGAGGAAATTACTGGAATGTCATTTCTCAGTATGTAGTTTCACATTAGATTTCACTTGCTTGGTTTACACATCCAAAATCCACACAAAAAAGTAATTTGCTTACTTTTGTCTAGCAGGCGGCACACAGCAGGTGCAGGCAAAAAGACTGACAAGGCAGAGCGCTAGAACAGGAGCCCACTCAGGTACATCTTTTTGCGCATTTGAATCTGTCATGGCAACAAGACATGTTTTAAATGGATATGGTGACCATTATGATCAAAGAGTTCAGAAGGTCAATGTATTGTTTAAAGTCACACATACTTGCTTCTGATGCCCTTAACACAGAGGAATATCCCATTCTAGACTACAGAACTCTTTCTTTTTAAAGGTATAATATGACCCCGCATCTGTGGGGGATACATTCTACGACTTTGTGTAGATACACAATACTGGGTAATAGCTAAATTTGTTGAATGAATGACTTCCACCAGAAGCATGCTATGCAGCTGCACTGGAGGAAATGCCCAGAGAGGACACCTCTATAGGCATAGATAGATAGAGAACCATAGAACTGCCTGAAGAACCTAGAAAATGCCTAGGAAGGGGATATTTTGCCAGTTATGGGCAAACAAAACAGTGGTCTCATGAATATGGGGGCAATACTTTATGAATTTTCAACACTAGTAATTTTTCTGCAGCTAGTGGTTAAACTGCAAGCTGCAGAAAAACTTTCTGATGGAAGGTTGGCAGTTTGAAGCTGTGGGTCGGGGTGAGCTCCCACTGTTAGCCCTAGCTTCTGTCAACCTAGCATTTTGAAAACATGCAAAATACATATTTGTTGTATGTATTTTATTTTGATTTGTTGTAATTGTTGGGCTTGGCTTGGCCTCATGTCAGCTGCCCTGAGTCCCCGTTGGGGAGATGGTGGTGAGGTATAAATAACCTATTATTATTATTATTATTACTAATGTGAGTAAATCAATGATTTCTGCCTTACGATAAATATGGCTGTTCTGGGAAAGTAAGGTCATCACTTGCACCAAGGCCCTCTGGGTACAATTCAAACTAACCCGTGTCTGTTCATCCCCTTCGGCCCTGATAGGGATATACAGTTTTCTATACTATATTTACTGACTTGTTCCAGAGTTTTAACAGATTACCTAAGATTTGTCATCACTAAGTACTAAAATATATGGAATTTGCATTTGTGTAGGAAGCAGGAAAGTAAATGGAGCCCATGCAGCCATGCCAGCAACATGACCAGGATGGGTCTGCGGACAACAGGCTCCTTGGCATGGAAAAGGGAACAAGAGCACCTCCCAATGGCAAAAGTTGAGCATTGCCTCCAGATGTCGGAGACAGAAGAAAACCAAGACCAAGAATTCTAACATTGTGAGATATTGTACAAAGTCTTGCAAAAGTTTTTAAATGCTACACTGCTTTCAGAAATAATGTAGGATAAATATAATTTAAACTTTGTCTGAAAACCATGGCAATTTAAATGGTATGGATATAATTGCACAATATTGTTCATGTGCTGTACTCTTGCTCCTTTATTTGCTTCTGATGCCATCTTTTACAGTTCCTTGCCTCTTAACCGAGTATTTATATAATGATTTACAAACTAATGTATTATTTATTTCATTTATATATTGTCTTTCTCCCAGGGGCAAGACCCAAGCCATGTCACAGAAATAGTTAATTAAACGACATATTAAAAGCTTGCTTAAACAAAAAGGTGTTTTTGGGAGGGGGGGGGGGTCAGTTAGTGAAAGGAGAGAAGAGGACCAGCCTAGCCTCCCATGGAAGTGTGTTCCAGAGGATGGGATCAGACCCTAAAAAGGCCCCCTCTTGCATCCTCAACAAGTGAACCTGGTATGATCAAGAGAAATCCTTTCCCTGTGAATCTTACAACTCTGGGAGGTTCATATAGGCACATACGATCTTTCAGATCATCTAAACCAGTGGTTCTCAACCTGTAGGTCCCCAGATGTTTTGGCCGTCAACTCCCAGAAATCCTAACAGTTGGTAAACTGGCTGGGATTTCTGGGAGTTGTAGGCCAAAACACCTGGGGACCCACAGGTTGAGAACCACTGGTCTAGATTAATGGTTCCCAAATTCTGGTCCTCCAGATGTTTTGGACTTCAGCTCCCATAATTTTTAACAGCTGGTAAACTGGCTGGGATTTCTGGGAGTTGAAGTTGAAAACAACTAGAGGATCAAAGGTTGGAAACCACTAGTCTAGAGCTAAGCTGTATTAGCTTTGTAGGTCATGACCAGCACTATGAATTGTGCCTGGAAATGAAATGGTTGCCAATGAAGCTGTTTGAACAAAGGAGTTAAATGCTCTCTGTAACCGACCCTGGTCAGCATTCAGGCTGCAGCATTTAAGACCTGTTCAAGTCTTCAAATGTGTTACAGGTGGTGGAAACAGGATGCAATCAAAGTGTGTGCCACCCACCATAGCCAGATCTGGCATTTCAAGGGATTGTGTGCAGCTGATGAACTAGTTGTAGCTGTGCCATTGCAGTCCTGCCCATTGCTGATACTTGGGCATCCAGGCTCAGAATTGAGGTCGGGTTAACAACTGAGCTGTCAGCCTGAGATCCCAAGGGCAGTGTAACCTACCCATCATTTCCCTGTTCTAGAGATTAGCCAGGACTTTGATAGGATCACCTGCTAAAATGACAGAAATCTTCCCAAGGCCAATTAGGAATCCATCTGGATCCACAAGTCTTCTGGGTTGGACCATCTTAATCACACCCCACCCCACCAAATAATGATCAGTGCCTGACATAAATTCCTCCAGATCCAGATCACTATCATCCTGCACAGAATAGAAAATCAGGTTCAAATTATGTCCTGCAGTATGATGGTATTAAATACTGCTTGGGACAGATCCATGGTTGTCATGGCAGATATGAAATCTTGAGCTGTTCCTGACAGTGTGGTCTCCCCATGGATGCTTAAGTCCTTCAGTACAAGAAGCCAAAGGGAGCCAATACTGCAACTGAGGCCATCTCAGTGCCCTCAAAATAGCCAAGGTAATACAACTATATCGTGAAGTCAGAAGAGGAGGAGGAAGAGGAGGAGGAAGAGGAAGACGAAGAAGAAGAAGAAAAAGAAGAAGCAGCTTATATCAAATTAAAATGTTTGAGGTACCATACGTTTTTTGCTTGGGTTATGTTAGAGCAAGCGAAAGAATGAATATACGCATGAGCACCATTCAGTCCAATTAACTGGGTCATAGCCAGGATTAGTCGAGCAGGATTAAACCTTCCTGTGGTTCCTCTTTATCCAACTGGAAATCTGAAGCGGATGGGACTGTGGATGCTCACTAAGGAGATAATGTGGACCCCCTGAACCCGTTCTTCCCCTTTATAATTATTTGCGGTCTTAACTAAAATTGAAAACAGTATTCCTGATACACAGCACTTTCAGGCAATATCCTGTCAATTCTTCACACTTCAGCTTTTGAAGCAGATGATCATAATTACTTTTTATGTAAATGATTTCTTCATTCCCTTTAGGGCTCTCTCCAGCTTCAGTGGAGGCTGTCATCCATACAGCATGCGCGGCACCGACTTGCACGTTGCTTATCAGAAATGGCTGCGGGGTGGATTTAGAGATCTCTGAGGGTGGGAAATAGGAAAGATACAAAGAGGTTCTTGAGTCTTGTTGAATAAGGCAAATAGGGGCATGAACAGTATCACATCACAGATACATTTAATGATATTTTTTTTAAAAAAAAGAAAACTAAGCATCTTTGATTCCTTAATTCATTCTAACACTCAGATGCTATCGTCTGCAACAAATGCTCTTGAATTTTATTATCTTCCCTTGTTGACCACTTAAACTTAGTATTAAAGGGACAATTTATTTCTCTTAAAATGGCTTTCAACATGATTTTCAAAAGAGTCTCAAACAAAGAACAACATGGTGAAAACAGCCCCCCCCCTCCACCTAGAACTGAGCACAATCGTATTCTGCAGACACTAGTCCATCTGTTTGGCCAGTGAGGCAATGCAGTTTTTATTACAGGAAGATATGAAAGTATGTCTCTTCATGTTGCCATGGCAATAAAGCCATTTTCTCTTTTTTCCCTTTGCACTGTAAGTCGGCAGGCAACCTGAAAGCACATCCTTTACTTAGATAGGGGGTTATGCATCCATCCCCTAAAACAGGAAGACAGGGGATTTCCATCAGTTTCCATGGGCAAAAAGAACATGTTCCCTTTCCTTACACAATGGGCAAATATTTTTTGTGTTCTTTATGCTTTTCCAAAAATAGTGATGGTAGAGAGGGAAGTCTTTTTACCACAAAGGGCATGAAAAAGAAGACTCTGTTCCCAAAGCCGTGCCTCTATTTTTTCAATGCCAGGACTGATGTGCTGACATTTAGTTTTGGAAAATGGAAATCTCCATGACCTTTTGGAGATTTTACGATCTTTGGAAAGGCATGACCTTCTTAGAAGTCATAACCTTTAGAAAAATGATGCCATAACTTCATAGTAAACGCATGACCTGTTCAAGCAGTAGTTCTCAACCTGTGGGTCCCCAGATGTTTTGGCCTTCAACTTCCATAAATCCTAACAGCTGGTAAACTGCCTGGGATTTCTGGGAGTTGTAGGCCAAAACACCTGGGGACCCACAGGTTGAGAACCACTGTGTTGGAGTCGTAACCTTTTTGGAGAAATGGCATTTACCAGCATTCATGCAAGGCAATCAGCACCTCAATTCATGGGTGATACCAGATGAGAGACTCCCCCCTGGGCACTCAGAAGACTGGACGACTTGGAAGGCGCTGAACAGATTGCGCTCTGGCACCACGAGATGCAGAGCCAATCTTAAGAAATGGGGCTACAGGGTGGAATCCTCGGCAGGCGAGTGCGGAGAAGAACAAACCACTGACCCCCTGCTGCAATGCACCCTGAGCCCTGCCACATGCACGATGGAGGACCTTCTTGCGGCAACCCCAGAGGCACTCCAAGTGGCCAGATACTGGTCAAAGGACATTTAACCAAATACCAAATTTACAAAATCTGTGTGGGTTTTTTTTCTTTCTTTTTTTTTCCTTTTTTCTTTTTCTTTTTAATCTCTGTGTTTGTTTTGCTCTGTTAGAATTGTAATACAATGGTTGCTGATGACACGATAAATATGCAAGGCAATTAAGTTTCTCAGCTGTTAAACTGATATCCTAAATATCTCTTTGAACTGTCAAGGACAAAGATATGCCAATACACACACACACACACACACACACACACACACATATTCAGCAGAGTTTCAGAAGTGTTCCTTTAGTTGTCCAAAAACATCTACTGTCCTTAAAATATATTTGCCTTTATATCATCCTCCCAAGAGACAAAAATAAGCAGATTTCTTTAAAAGTAACATAGTTGGTTTACTCACAAACTTCTTGTATTCAGCATACAGGTACTTTGCTTATCAATCTAGTTACAAGGATATTTGAAGTAGTTTATCTGTGTAAGTAACCCAGGGCATCTTTCTTAGAAAGTTGAATGCCTTCTGTATAGCATTCTGTTCCTACTGAAGTCTAAACTGAACTGTTTCTAAAATGGAGTCTGAGCCCTGAACAAGCCCAGTTCTGATCACATGGTCTGCAGCCTTTCCCACAACAAAAACTGCATACTAATACACACATAACATAATAATAATAATAATACTTTATTTGTATCCCGCTACCATCTCCCCAAGGGACTTGGTGCGGCTTACATGAGGCCAAGCCCACAACACATCAATAAACAAAGGCAAAACAAATAATCAATACAAACAGTTAAAATAAAACTCAAAAACTCAAAAACAAAAAATACGCAATAAGCAATAAACAATAACAATAACATACAGCATTTAAAAAACCTATGGCCGGGCCAAATGTAATAATTAAAATTTAAAATGCTAGGGCATGAACAAGGTAGGGTAAACTAGGATAGCGTTATCAAAGAAAGAAGAGGGCGCGCAGGCAATCCTAATCAATATTAAAGTGCATTTGAGGTGCATTACAGAAAACAAACTAAATTATATACATAATAAATAAATAATGGAGACTTGAGAAGGTTGCAGTTTTCCAACATTTAAAAGGTACCTACCATAGACCTTAGAGGTGTAGTTGGAGGGTCGTTTTTGCACATATATCCTGTAGTTAACGATGCAGCCCATCTGTTGATGGAATGGAATTTCCTCCCAAAAGACCAAAATTCTCCCTTCTTCTTTGGTTGCATTAATGTGAGGTCCTCTTAATGGGGCTGCAAAACACAGGATCTCTCTCTCTCTCTCTTTTAAAAAATGCTGTAGCTTATTATTTCAGATCTTGAACTGCACAAGGGTCATCACACTTACCTTTTGCTGACACATTCTCTGTAGTGGAAGCTGCTTTTCCTGCTTGGCTCTCATAGAGTGCAAACACATTGATGTGATAGCACACGTTAGGCTTTAGGTTCTCTAGGAGAGAGGAAGTGATCTTTGACAGAAACATGACTTAAATATTTCAATATTTCAATACTATGAGACCAGGCTTGTTCAAAAGGAGCCATATGACAGTTATATTTCATTTTCAAAGGTGGGAAATGGACAAACCATGACATTCAGATAACCTAAAGATGGGGCATATGTGGCCCTCCAGGTGTTCATGGGTTATGCCCATCATATGCCAATGCCTATGCTGGCAACTGTTTATGGGAGCTGCTTTCTAACAACATCCAGAGGGACTCATTTTTCATGCTGGTTCTGGCATAAATTGATTCTCCTTTTCCCCTTCCTATCAACCATCTCCCTCCCCGCCCCCCCCCCCAATATTTTTTCTGGACCCAGTCCACAGATCAAACAGAAATATAAGGTTATGATTTCGTATTCTATATTAAAAAGTACTGAAAACCTGGAAGATACTCGGTTTTAAGACATTATTCCTATTTTAGTTGTATGTTAAATTAAAGAACATTGTAACACAAATGGTGTGTAGACAAGAAGGTGTAGGAGACTGAGAAATGGCCATGTTTTAACTTCCTGACATGTAGGGATCCTGACTTTTCCAAGATAATCATGAAGATGAATAAAATATACACTTTATTTATAATACCGAAGGCCAAGTGGGTGCTAATGATTGCTCAATATTCTGTTTACAAGCCATGAACACATGTCTTCCATTTATGTTTACTGTTATCCTTTACCTAGGAAAAGTCCCCTACATCCTAATTCTCACATGATTATGACATTATACAGAAGATCCAAAATATGTTTGGATTTTCCCCTGACGTTTTCAAAGAAAACTAGCTTTCTGCACAATGTGATATCAAAATGCACAGAGGAAGTATTATAGCTATTATGACATTATTTTCACTAGGTTACAGAGTATCATTTCCACCTTATGATGGCTTCATCATGATAGTACAAATTGGCTTACGTGACTTGACCTTGTGCCAATTTTTGACACTGTGTTGCAAAATTGAAAGAACTTTGACAAAAATGGCAGCCGGCACAGACTTTGGAAGCAATACAATGTTGGATAGGTTACTCCACGCATGGACAAACTTCAGCCCTCCATGTGTTTTGGACTTCAACTCCCATAATTCCTAACAGCCTCAGGCCCCTTTCTTTTCCCCCTCAGCTGCTTAAGTGGCTGAGGGGGGAAAGGAAGGGGCCTGAGGCTGTTAGGAATTATGGGAGTTGAAGTCCAAAACACCTGGAGGGCCCAAGTTTGCCCATGCCTGGGTTACCCTGTTCAGGCCATTTGAAAAGAGAGAACATAGACCTGAGTGATTCAGTGATTTTGATGAGCTGCAGCTTAATACAGATAATCTGAAGCCATCTGGAAAGAACTAGAAGACAGGATGAGCTATTGTGTGCAGTGCAAAATTGAAGCTTAATGTGTGGGCAAAAGCAAATGTCTATCCCATAAGAGCTGTAATTGCTCGTCTTTGGCCAGGAGCATAGTGCCAATATTTCACCGAATGAAGCAGTATGTGTTTCCTTCCTATGCTATGCACCTACCTATTTTGACTGTAAAGTTGGATGCAGATACTTTCAGCCAGTTTGGGGTGCTTTTCAAGGGTTCATCCTGATGGAACTCTGTCCACTCAATTACATATCCATTGATCAAAGGTGAAGGAGCAAACGGGGCTTCCCATGTCACAACGATGCTCTCATTTGCCTCTGATGCAGCCAAGAGATGTCTAGGCGGTGGCAAGTCTTGGAAGAAACAAGAAGCAGTAGGAAATATATCAGCTCCTTCACTTGAAAACAAGAGTGTATAAGAAATGAAAAGATTTCTCCAAGAGAAAAAGAAGACAAGGTTAGCTATTCTTAATGGGATAACATCTGGAACTGGATAGTGAAACAACTAAGATATCTGTGCAGCAGTGGTAACTGAAACAACAACTATCACAGACTCGATCCATTCATGGAATAGGAGCCAGAAGACTTTTTGGCAATTTTCTTTCCCAATGAGTAGCATTCTGCACTAATTTGTCTTTTCTTCTTGAAGTCACAGGGTGACAGTGAGAAGGAGTTAAAACCATCTAAAAATGACATCTCTCTTCCTCTTTCCAGCAGGAAACATCTGAGAACAAAACTCTGGTTCCTAGAAGTTCGCATTTTCACCAACTTCTATGAAGCACCTGGGCATCACAAACTTGAATTAAGTACAATTGTATTCTCAACAAGTTATGCACAGCAGAAAAAAATCACACACAACCTTAGGGATATTCTTACAATCCTCAATCTGAAATGAAAGAAGAAGAACATGCAGATCTCAGAAAACATTAGAAGATGCTATCAGCTATAACTCAGCAATGAGTTAAGATTAAACTGCTGAGAATTTTATGAAGTTGATTTGCTACTGAATGTGTTATAGTAAAACCCCCAAATCCATGTAAGATATGCTTCTGAATGTAACTGTGGAAACAGGAAACTGTGGATAATAGTAAATCCTATTGAAACAAGTAGTTCCTAGCAGAAGTCATTGCAGAACCACTGGCAATAATCTTTGAGAATTCTTAGAGAACAGGAGAAGTCCCAGCAGACTGGAGGAGGGCAAATGCTGCCTTTATCTTCAAGAAGGGAAAAAAGAGGACCCAAACAATTACCGTCCAGTCAGCCTGACATCAATACCAGGAAAGATCCTGGAGCAGATCATTAAGGAGGCAATCTGCAATCACTTACAAAGGAATGCTGTGAATACTAAAAGTCAATATGGATTTCTCAAAAGCAAGTCATATCAAGCTAATATTTTTTCAATAGAGTTACAAGCTGGGTAGATGCAGGGAATGCTGTGGATGTAGCATATCTTGACATTTCACCTGAATTTGTGGAGGTATCCTCAGAGGTTGTGAAATGTGATAGTTCACATTCTGGTGTTCATAAAGTGAAATGTTCAGAAGTGCAGATAGGAAAACCTTACCTGTAATTCCTAGTTTAGTTATGATGTGGACAGGTGGAGACATTCCCCGCAAGTTGTAGGAATACACTTTTATGTTATAGTCTGCCTTAGGCACAGTTTGTGAGAAAACTGTGTGTACTGTGAAATTTGTCTCTGCTCTTCTGTGAGGCTTCTGGCCGAGGGCCTGAAATGTTATTCTGTAATGATGGCTTCTTCTTTCTGATGCATCCATTGCCTAGGAAGAAATAGTATGTCATTTTCCCACCCTTGTTGTATCAATGCTCATCCCCATAAAAAAAGATCTGGTCAGTTTTAAAAACCTAGCATGGAATAGCCCTGGATCCAAAAGTCATGAAGATAATTGAAAGATGTTGGGCTGATGGCTTTTCCACCATCTTAACCTAACCTTCCCCACTTGGACAGTGGAAAGATTCATATATGACATTATAACAAACTTGGAGAAACACACAGGAGGGAATAAAAATCCAACAATAAAATATCCTTAAAAGATTGCCCAGTGCAAGCCATAACATTAAAATGGTTTCATAATTGTTGTGTTGTTTATTTTAACAAGTCTCTAAGAGGAGACTGGATGGAAGGTTGTGGTATGGCTGAAACCAGCTTGTTAACATTGTTGTCTGAGTAAAGATATGAACCTGGCCTCCCATGGCTAAACCATTCACTGCTCCTCCATGTTGGCCCAGAATTTAAAATGCTGGCTTCATTCAATTTCCCTTATAGTGACTTTCTAATGTCATTCCAGCCTGACAGATGGAGAAAGAGAATGGATTTGGCTGCTGCACTGGACAGTCAGTCTTTTCTCAAATTCCCCTCATTAAATATATCAATTCAACCAGATGCTAACTTGAGGGAAGTGGCCAAATGTCTGGGTGGGATAAGAAAAGCCCCAACTTCTACAATGCATGGGATTTCAATGTTTTTATTAGGTGTTTTTAATGTTTATGTTTCATGTTTAAATGTCCTCTTATCTTATGGTGAATTGTCCTATTGAATTTACGCTTAGTTGTATATTGCTTGACTTATGATTTGGTTTATGTATGTATGGAAATGAATTTTGACATTTTTTTTTGTAAACCACTTTGAGTCGTCTCCTCCCCCCGGGATAAGAAAAGCAATATATAAATACAGTAAATAGATAAATAAATAAATAATGCTAAAGGAGTGGGGAGCTCTTGAGTGATCTAGTTGAGCTCACTAAACACCCCTGATTTGATGGTTTAGCACATAGTGTTTTCATTTGATGTGAGAAACTAGACAACAGTGCACCAAATGCAAATCCTCTCCATGCGTTCTTTTCCACTTTATTGTACAAATTGAATTAAAATTAACTAGTCTGAAGTTGTGGAACACTCAGTATGAATACAGGATATATCCTTCTATCATTCAGCAATTGTCAGTCTTGGGGATGGGGGAACCTGTTGTCATCAGATATCAGTGATCGTGGTGATGGGAGTCAATTCAGACCATGAAATTGAAGCTGGTCTCAACTCAGAGGTGAAGAAATGACAGTGCCCTCTCAAATGGAGTGTACCTACTTTTTCCTTCCCTAGGAATCCAAAGCAGTGGTGACTTGTGCCCTTAATGTGCAGTTATATATGTGTAAGCCACTACCAGGACACCGGCCAATATTTGTATTTACTAAATTTTTCTATGAAGACAGACTGGGGTGGCAGCAGGGAGGAGTAATCCCTTGATGCATTGAATGACACATCTACAAAGTAGAATTGATGCAGTCTGACACCACTTTGACTGCCATGGCTCAATGCTATAGAACAGTGGTTCCCAACCTGTGGTCTGTGGACCAGTGGTCCGCAAGAATGAAAATATGGTCTGCGGCCTCACCATTACTCCACCATTGCCTCGAAACCATGCGGAAACAGGAGCAACTGGTCTCATAAAACCTCTTATGGTGCCAAGGCAACAGGGATGTCGGCAGGGGAGGGGCTGACTAGCCATGAAAGATTAATACTACATCAGCTCTAGATTATTAAATATGGTGAGCAGATGGCGACTAATGGATGGCACATGTTCTGTATCAAAAACTAGAGCTGATGTCTGTCCAATGCAAGTTTCTGAATCAGCACCCCAAGTAACCAAACCAAATCTAAAGTTGACCAAAAACCAATTTGTAACCTTTTTGGTACTAATGTTGGAGAGTGGTCCCTGGTCAAAGTGGTCCCTGTTCAAGTGGTCCCTGGTCAAAGTGGTTCCTGGTAAAATGGTCCCTGGTCAAGAAAAGGTTGGGAACCACTGCTATAGAATCATGGAAGTCATAGTTTTACAAGGTAGTTTTAGCCTTCTCTGCCTACAAAAAAACTGCCCAAACCCCCTTGAGCCATAGCAGTTAAAATACTCAAAAGATTTGCCCTTTTAGTTCTAACTAACTACTTCATTTCTATACTACACACCGAAGATACAGGCAATGGTGCCTGAAGAGGATTTTTCAAAAATGTGGTTAAGGGTGCATCTTCTCTCTGCCGTCTATCTCTTCTAGTTAGGGTAAAGAAGTACCACACAGAATGTTTTTCATCCAGACACCAGTGTCTCCACATCTGATCAAGTGAACAGAATTTTTTACCTTCCAGAAAAGAGTTATGTTCTGCATTTGGGAAGACACGGCCTTCTTTAAATACCAGACATCACTGGGTTCAAATGGCACTGGGGAAAAATGAGAAGAGTTCTATAATGTAACAGGTATATCAGTAGGAGATTGGGTCTGCAAACTATTCAGACAGGAAACAAATGCAAACAGTTGAATTTGTCCACCTCCATTTTGGGAATGGCACAGATGGCAAATCAGAACCCTCTTATCATCTTGGCAAGTCACTAAAGTCCTCTGCTCCACTCATGAAAACATTTAATCAGAACCTTCGCTAGAAATGTAAGAGTGGAACCCTTAATAGATGTATTCTATGATTATGCTAACAAGATAATTGGTACCAGAGGTAGCAAATACAAAGAAGGACTAGGTATATGTTTCCACCCAATAAAAAAAGAGCAATTAACACACATAAGGAAACTTTTTGCTTAAAGGTAAAAATATACTCAGGAGGAATGAAAGAAGCAGCTTATATAAGTAAATAAAATATTCTGACTCTCAAAACTGCTCAAAAGTATCCAAAATGCAACCTGGGATATAATTTTATTACCTGCTTCCGTTTGAAATGAAGCACTCCAGTTACTCCATAAGCCTTTGTTGGGCCGGAAACGACCAGAAACCTGGAATATATATTCAGTATCTGGCTTTAAGCCATGTAGTTCATATCTTCTTGTTTGTATGTTTTCAACCTTGAAAGAGAAGAAATGAAAGCACCCTGGAGCAAAATAACAAGTGCTGGTATTCATGATTTGTATGTGAAAAGGAGGATATTTGTTTTCTTTTTGTTTCGGTGGCTGAAGTTCAGAAGAACAAGGCAGTCGTCCTGTAAATATTTCTGTAGTTTCAATTCCTACAAATCTCCAACTAGTATGGCCATGACCATGCGAGTGGGAGGATCTTCCAGGCGTCAGGACTGAGTGATCTATGATATTGTAGCTAGGCCTATATAGAAGGGTAGTAGTGTGAGACTCTTGTGTTCTGAACAATAAAGAAGTATGATATCTACAGCCTATGTGCGTCTTGGCATGTTTTTTTCCAAGAGAAGACTAATCCACAGCAGTACAGTGGGAGCTGAGAAACCTTACATAGGTCAAGCAATTATGCTTTCCAAAGAGAAGGGCACTGGAAGCAACAGACGGATGGTACAAAAGTATCTCATCTTTTTCTCTCTTAATAGATATTCCACACAAAGAAGGGGAAAAAGTCCCTAGAGGGCATTCTGTCTTGAGAAAATACTCTTTGCATTCCCTCACTTGCCATCTATTAGAGACCACCTTTTTGCAGCAGGTTAAGGCCATAGACCAAAGTAGACATGTCACTTTTTTTCTCCTCTCTCCTCCGTCCACCCACTTCTCTTTTCCTCTCTGTTGCATATCTGCCTGTTCAGCCTGCGATTGTGTTTGATGTTCATGTTGATATTCATGATAAGAATGGTGATGATGTTCATGTTGATGTTCATGAAAGGAATGGGGATGTTGATCCAGTTCCTGGGCCAGGGTCTGTTGGATTTGGGGATGAGAGGTTACTTGGGCCTGAACTGAGTTTAAAAGAGAGGCCTGAGTTGCTGTAAGAGGATTCTCAAGGTCCCAGACTTGGGAAATGCTTTTCGCCATGGTTCCCTGAGCAGTTTTCCGAGAATGAAGCTGGTTTTGGTGTACCAGGTGCAGGAGTTAATGATGAGAGTGAGGCCTTGAACAGGAAGTTTTAATAAACAGAGGCAGTTTGGGCAGCAGTTAAGATGCTCAGCTCAGATTCAACAGAAACTAAGGTAGAATGTGTTCCTAGTAGTTTTGAAGCCAGGGAAGAGTTTATAATGATTTGTGGAACATAATTGTTTCAGTTGAGACAACGTTGGGATAACGACAAGTTTCATGTACCAAGATCTGCCTAGCTCATGTTATTGCCTATGGGATATGCTTTCTGTATTGCTCATGGATTCAAGTGCCTAGTTGCATGGATTTCCTTTGACTCTTTGTTCCTATCTTCCTTTGTATCTGATCAAATAAATTGGATTACCTTTACTGTGGATTACTTTTTACTGCTTTGGCTACATATATTCCTAAATAAACTGCTTGCTGATTTTACCCAGCTGGTGTGGTGTTTAAAGGAAGAGGTGATTCTGCACTGTAGTCCGACACTCTCCCTGATCTTATTATAGATGAAGAATGGTACGTTTAGAAAATATTACCATGGTCCAGGAAGTACTTTGAACGGGCTGGTATCTTAATCTAAAATGTGGTGTGTCTTCTTGATCTTGCCACAGAATTGTGCACTTTGTTGCATCAGAGCCATCAAATTTCACTGAGAGGTTCACTGGAGAATAAGGCTTCACTGGTCAATGGTGAACAAAAAAACAGAAGAAAGGTTTTTAACAAAAACACACAAGTTAATGCCACAAACACATAAGTCGGCCACAAGTTAAGGCAAAGAACAAGCCATGAGAGTAAGGAGAAAGATCCACCCCAAGGAAAAAGTGTCCTTACCATACATCAAGGGTGCCACTGACTGCATAGGGAAGCTGATGAAGAAACACAACCTACTAACAATCTACAGACCCACTAAGAAATTCCAACAAATGCTACGTTCAGCAAAGAACAAAAGGCATCCTCTCACCTCTGCAGGAGTCTACTGTATACCATGCAGCTGTGGACAAGTCTACATAGGGACCAGCAAACACAGCGCCCAAACACAAATCAAGGAACATGAAAGGCACTGCAGACTAGTTCAACCAGAGAAGTCAGCCATAGCAGAGCACCTGATGAACCAACCTGGACACAGCATATTATTTGAGAAGACAGAAACAGAAATGCTGAACCATCTAACAACCACCATGTCAGACTACACAGAGAAGCCACTGAAATCCACAAGCATGTGGACAATTTCAACAGAAAGGAGGAAACTATGAAAATGAATAAAATCCAGCTACCAGTATTAAAAAAAACTCTAAAATCAGGACAACAAATAAAGGGCAGCAGTCAAAAAACAGAGGAATTCCAAACATGAAACAATCAGGGCCAGCTAATCACCTCCCAACAAAGGATTCACCCAGGCAGGAAATCAGCCAGGCCTTGAAGCTGCAAGGCTTCGCAATGCTAATCAAGATGATTAATTGCAACATTCACATTTGCCTCTAACAGACAGGAGTTCTTCCTCCCACCCTGAACATTCCACAGACATATAAACCTAACTTGCCTAGTATCCAACAGACCTCACAACCCCTGCCATAGATGTGGGTGAAACGTCAGGAGAGAATGCAAAGATACAGAATGGGGGATGCTTGGCTCAACAGCAGTGCGTATGAAAAAATTCTTGGAGACTTCGTGGGCAACAAATTAAACATGAGCCAACAATGTCATGCGGCGGCAAAAAAAGCCAATTGGATTTTGGCCTGCATAAATAGGAGTATACTGTCTAGTTCCAGGGAAGTCATGCTACCCCTCTATTCTGCCATGGTCAGACCACATCTGGAACACTGTGTCCAATTCTGGGCACTGCAATTGAGGAGAGATGTTGACAATCTGGAATGTGTCCAGAGGAGGGTGACCAAAATGATCAAGGGTCTGGAGAACAGGCCCAATGAGGAACGGTTTAAAGAGCTGGGCATGTTTAGCCTGCAGAAGAGAAGGCTGAGGGGAGACATGATGAGAGCCATGTATAAATATGTGAGGGGAAGTCATAGGGAGGAGGGAACAAGTTTGTTTTCTGCTGCCCTGAAGACTAGGACGTGGAACAATGGTTTCAAACTACAGGAAAGGAGATTCCACCTAAACATTAGGAAGAACTTCCTGACTGTGGGAGCTGCTCAGCAGTTGGAACTCTTTGTGGTGGAGGCTCCTTCTTTTGAGGCTTTTAAGCAGGGACTGAATGGCCACCTGTCGGGGGTGCTTTGAATGCAACTTCCTGTTTCTTGGCAGGGGGCTGGATGGCCCACGAGGTTTCTTCCAACTCTATGATTCTATGATTCTATGATGATGAATGCTTCTGGAACATGGCCATATAGCCCAGAAAACTCACAGCAACCCAGTGATTCCGGCCATGAAAGCCTTCGACAACACAAAAGTTAGTACTTGGAAAACGCCAGTAGAAATATACAGAAAATTCTATATTAGTATCAATGTAAGAGTTCTATAGATAGAACCATAATTAGTAGACAGCTTTCTTCGTGCCAAGTCCCTTGTGATGCCACCTACAATGCAAATATCCCCTCCTCACATTGCACTTTCCAATGAACTTTTCCCAACCTAATGGCAAATAACAACAACAACAATAAACTTTATTTATTCCCCGCCCCGTCTCCCCGAAGGAACTTGAGGCAGCTTATGTTTACCTATGTCTGATTGAATTGGCTGAGAAGACACATTCCCCAGTAAGTTTGTGGCAGTAACCACCACTGTGTAAGTAGATCTGAAGTCCAGGCTTATGCTGAGATCCACTTTGTTGTCTTTAGAATGAATCTCTTCCACAAATGTTCCATTGCTTAGCCTGCAATAGAATGACAAATGTGGATGAAAATGCTGATAACCTCTTTTCTGCTAGGCAAAATGCTGTTGCTGAAGTAAGGTAAGTCTACATCTGTTTGACCAAGTGCAACAGAACAGTGTTACAATTCTAGTATTGTATTTAATTATTCTAAGCTAAGTTGTGCATCAGATAGGGTTCTATTACCACTGCATCCACATGTATAAAGTGTGAGGGTCCTAGGCAAGTCAATGTCAGAAAACAGATCCTTTATTTTTGTTATTTCAGAATACTTCTTGATATTTCTCATCTCCTCCTGATGGCTAGATGGACAGAGGTCTATAGTCAACTGCATATATTCTTAACTGGATTAAAAGCAGATGCTTCCTCCACAGAGAGACAGCAGAAGAAAATAGTGCATGGCGGATGAGGTCCCCTAAGTAAACATGTTTTGGGAAGGTATCAACTGAAACTACACGAAAGGATTTTCACAGGGTACCGGTGGGTGTAGAAAGAAAAAAGAAACAAAAAGCTGTGAATTTCCTTCTTTTCACTTGCCTCCGGATTCAAGCTGTCCTATGATAGGATCCCAACTGACATAAAATATGCTGAGCTAACAGTTGATGGGAAAAAGTGAGATGTCTATGCTACGCTCTTTGTAACAGATTTGCCTACCTTGTGGGTAAAAGGCAGTACACACGCCTGGCTTGCGAAAGCTAAGGAGTAGGGGGTGGCGTGATCAGGCAGCCTCATAGCCAGAAGTGCAGTCTGATTGGCTGATGAAATTGGAGGGAAACGCTTAGCAACTGGAGATGGGCGGATATAGAGGGGAAAAGAAGGAGCTAAGGCAGTCATTTTATGTTCATTTGGGAGTTTGGAGTTGGAAGGGCTGGTTAGGTGTTATTGAAGGGGAAGGAAGAGTTTGGGAACTGTTGTTAAAAGGTACCTCTTTGAGGAAAATAGTTAGGCCTCTATAGTGATTAGAGTGCTGAAGGATGGTTCAAAAGGTTCAAAAGATCCTGTTTGAATTCCTGTGTGTGGAACTTTGTTTAAGAAACTCAAGTTATAAGACTATTTCTCTTTCAAAAAGTAAAGCCTGTTAATCTATTGAAACTGCTAAACTTATTTACTGTTCCAGAACAAAATAAACAACATATTCCTGTTTCATTTCAACTGAAGAGTTGTGTGGCTTTTAAAACATTCCAGTGAAGGAGGTGGCCTATGAAATAATAAATTGGTGGCAGCAAAAGAAACCCCAATAAATATTTGGTGGTATCAAAGGAATATTTAATACACAGTGGTAGCTTCCCACTGTCTGATCTTGCGTGTGTGAGGGTGTGTGTGCTCCGATCCCCTCACAACCTCGTCTTGGGTTAGACCTTGTCATTTGTCCTTCAGTCCTCCATCTTGGTTGTTGCACTCGTTAATAGAAAAACCATTTTTATTGCTGTCCATCCAAGGTAGGACAGCAGGTATGGAAGAACTGAAGACATGGAAAAGCAGGATTTCTGAAGTCAAGTAAAGAGGAACTCAAACAGCAGAACTTGAGTGAGAGTGTATAGAAGTACAGAAGAAAGCTGAGATACAAGGAAAACTTACTTTACTGTGTAGTAATGAAAACAATAAGTATGACGTCCTTCATCCCAAGAGCAAGTGGGAGACCCGTTCTTTCCATACTGACGGCAGATAATATTTTTTGGCTGGTCCGGAGGAACTGCAAAAAGAAAGAACTAGTTAGGAGCTAAGCCAAGAGGTGGTTAATATAAATTACTTTTTATACAAGAGTTTAGGAGCAAATTAAGTCTAATTTGCAGGTTGTTTTTTCCTAAGGTTTGTTGCAGACAGTATTATAAAAAATGGCTTCCTTTTGCAAGAGTTTCCTTTACACAGGAATGAACAGAGAATGCTAAATGCCTGCATACTGCAGCAGGTAATACAGCATAAAAGTACTAGAAATGTTTCCCTCTCCAAAGAATAACCCTCAACGTACCTAAGCATAATAGCAAAATCCATAATTTTGCCCCCCAGACCTGCCCTCAAATTATACATAAAGTTGAGTTATGTATATATGATAAATCTCTAAATGTAACTAAATAACTAAAAACAGCAATTATTATTGCTTGATTTTTCTTGGATGATGCTCAGGGATTTCATGGATGAATCTACTAAACTGAATACAAGGAGATATACCAAAATACAGGAGAACAGTTAACAGAAGATTCTTCCTGTAATAAACATTCAATTCCTTGGAATGGCTACTTTTGGGAATTCCAGCTCCTGAATTTTGTGAAAATAACCTTCCTAAACTTGGAGTTTTGTAGAAGCACACCTAGGTTGTCAATTTGTTGGTTAGTCCCAACTTGAATAGAGCCATTCTGCCAATTGCTGAGTCAACGTAGCACAATGATAAATCTCAGATTTGATGAGTCTTGTCAGGGCTCCATCTGACCACATAAGTAAACACGTACAAAGAAAAATATCTTACGTCCAGCGGTAATCCTGATTTCACATATGAGCTTCGGTCTTTTCTCGGTTGAACACTCGCATTTAAATGTCTGCGTTCCAAATCTGTTCAGGAAAACATGGGCGCTGACTGAAGGACCTCCACTGCTGCTCACTTCACTGCCGTTTTCCAGAATTGAGACCTTCTTGAAGCCCTTAGGGAAAACAGTCCTGTTTGGCAAGCAGTACAGAGTCACCTCTGTTCCATTTGGCCGACAACTGCCATTTCCAGTAGCATTCATGTATCCCCTATAATAAAGAAAACCAGCATTATGCACGCTGCAACAACTTCATATATTGGAAAATCTTCTGGCTTTGGATGACACAAATCTCCCCTCTATTCCCAATTACAATAATGGTCAAAGCAGGAAATGGCTAGGAGTGAGGTAGTCCACCACCTCTGAAAGTTCTGTACTGGCTTCTTGGCTGCCTTGGTTGGTTGAAGATTTCCCATGTTGTGTACCTGCTTCTTATCTGGCCTGAAGCTAATGCCATTTCCCTCTTTTCTGGTGTTCAGATATGTCTTTTGCTTTATTTATTTTTGTAGTCATTTTCAATGTGCAAAGGCATGGAAACCCCATCACCAGATTACCACAGGACTGTTTCACCTCCATGTTCAAATCATTCCCATGTGGCGTGCTTTGTGAAGGTCCTTGTTTGTAGTATCACTCAGCCAGGAATGTGTGGCCCTCCAGGGGCTATTGCTCTATAACACCCATAGTTCCACAACACTGGCTGTGCAGGATGGAGATGATGGCAGTTGCAGTCCAACAATGTTTAGAGCCAGTGACAGGTACAGGCGCCCCTTCACATCTGCAGCTTTGTCTTTCGAAGATTTGTTTTTTCATGGATTTGATTAAAATATTATTTCTAGGAACTTTTAGCTCTTCCGGTATGACTCTATGTCATGCAGAGGAGATTTCTAGAGAGAACACCTCTCTAGGGATTTCTAGGTCCTCAAGTGCATTTCTATGGTCAACATTCAGAAGAAGCTGACCATAGAGTCATGCCGGAAAACCTAGACATTCCCAGAGAAATGTTCTTTCAGGTTAAAAAAATAATTTCTTGATTTACCATTTTTCAGTTTTAAGGGGTCCTGTGTCCCTAACACCAGCAAATATGGAGGGCTGACTGTACAATTCAGCTGAGTTGCAAGGCTACAACTACCGTGAACCCTAGGACCGAAATGAGTGGTGACGCAAAATGGAGCTGCAACAACTGTAAGGCCACATTTTCCCCATAAGACAATTAAACCAGGAACCTTACATATTTTTAAATATTCATTATTAAAGTATTAATATTTTATATCAATAATTGGAAAAAATGATCTGAAAGCAGCAATACTCAACTGTGGTTTATTGCACTCCTCCGGTCTCCCAAAATGTGCCCCTAGAATTAAAAAAAGGAGTGCTTTCTGATAAGCAATTCAAAGATAAAAGAAGTCTTCCAACAAGCAACAACCCCAGGTAAGGTAAAGGTTTTTCCCTGACATTAAGTCCAGTCATGTCTGACTCTGGGGGTTGGTGCTCATCTCCATTTCTAAGCCGAAGAGCCGGCATTGTCCACAGACATCTCCAAGTTCATGTGGCCAGCATGACTGCATGGAGCACCGTTACCTTCCCATCTGAGTGGTAACTATTGATCTACTCACATTTGCATGTTTTTGAACCACTAGGTTGGCAGAAGCTGGGGCTAACCGCGGGAGCTCATGCTGCTCCCCGGATTCAAACCTGCGACCTTTTGGTTGGCAAGTTTAGCAGTTTAGCAGTTTAACCCACTGTGCCATCGGGGGCTCCACCCCAGATACATCAAAGTAAAATCAAACATGATTGCGAAACGTGAATCAATATGCAATTTGAAATAGGCTGTACTCCCTAAACTAAACATAGGCAAGATATGGCAAAGATTAACATATTTCACAAGATATCAGTGTTGGGAATCTCCTACGTCCCCCTGAGTAACAAAGGAAAGTCAACCATATTTCTGGAACATGGCCAGACAGCCTGGAAAACTCACAGCAACCTAGTCAGTCATACTATTAGCACTCCTAGGACACTATATTTAATTGTTCTTTCTTGCCACTACAACATCTGAGATGTTAGGATAAAAGGTGCATCTACACTATAGAATTAATGCAGTTTGACACCATTTTCTGTCATGGCTCAATGTCATGGAATCATGTGAGGCTCCAGCACTCTTTGGCAGAAGAGTCTAAAGACCTTGTAAAATTGTAGTCCATGATTCCATTCCATTGAAACACGACAACCAAAGTGGTGTCAAACTGCATTAATTCTACAGTGTAGATGCACCCAGAAAGAAAGAATGTCTCTAAAACTTTGCCAGAACACAGAAGGAATACTACGGTGCCTGTTGGAACAATAGTCTCACATGGCGCAAAATATGTTGATAGGCACCAACTTTTTGCGCTCAAGGCTAGAAAGAGAATTCTCCATCTGCACTTGCTCCATATCCCCTTTGCAACTGAGGAATCCCCACAAGAACTGACACATGAAAAGAGATAACTCACGTAATCCCACGTGTACTAAAAGCACAAGTGTTAAAAACAAACTCCATTGGAAGGACATCTTGATAAAAGTTACAGTGGTTTGCCCTGTTTAGAAAAATAAAAGAAATATTCAGTGTTTGGGAGGAGAAGGAGGAGGAGTAGAATTATTTCAAGGCAGCATTGGTGCTTTCACCTTTCTGGGAAGCCACCCTCAAAAGCAAGCATGGGCAAACTCTGTCCCTCCAGGTGTTTTGGGCTTCAACTCCCACAATTCCTGGCCTCAGGCCCCTTCCTTTCCCCCTTCAGCCGCTTAAGCGGCTGAGGGGGGAAAGGAAGGGGCCTGAGGCCAGGAATTGTGGGAGTTGAAGCCCAAAACACCTGGAGGGACAGAGTTTGCCCATGCCTGTTCAAAAGCCATAATTTTGGCCCCAAATCCTGCTCTTGATTTATACTTGAGGTTGACTTATACACAAGTTTATATGGTCGAAGTAACATGTGAGTTTGATGAGGAATCAAAACATTCAGTATTTTTATTAGGCTTTCTGAAACAGAATACTAACCAGGAACAATATTTGTACTGTATTAGAACTAAATGTACTCCATTACTCTTTACATGTTCCTTGGGAATAATTTGGGGCTATGGGAAAAAAAACTTATGTAACTTGCTACCAAAAAAGGATCTTTCATGGGTTACCTCCAACAGAAATGAATACTAAGAAATTGTTTTTTAAATTTGTTTTAGGAAATGTTGGAATTGGTTTTTTAAAAGCTATGTTCTGAGCAAACTGCTCTATATCCGAACCGTACCCTAAGCTTCTTGGACTTTTCAGCACAGTGTTGACAAGTGGAAGAAAAAAAAAACCCCACAGAAACAATAAGGTGATATAAAGGCCCTTCCACACAGCTAACTAAAATCCTGTTATCCACCGTATATACTCAAGTGTAAGCTGACCCGAATATAAGCCGAGGCACCTAATTTTACCACAAAAAACTGGGAAAACTTATTGAATCAAGTATAAGCTGAGGGTGGCAAATTGCAGAAAATGAACATGTCAAACTACTCTGGGACTTCCAAATTCAGACTGACAGAGTTTTGGAGCACAATACTCCTGACCTCACAATCATGTTAAAAAACAAAGTATGGATCGTTGATGTTGCAATCCCAGGCGACAGCAGGATTGAAGAGAAACAACTGGAAAAGCTGACATGATATGAGGATTTAAAGATCAAACAGCAAAGACTTTGGCACAAACCAGTAAAGGTGGTCCCAATGGTGATCGGCACACTGGGTGCAGTGCCTAAAAACCTTGGCCTGCACTTAAACACAATCGGCGCTGATAAAATTACCGTCTGCCAGCTGCAAAAGGCCACTTTACTGGGATTTGCACACATTTTTCGCCGATACATCACACAGTCCTAGACATTTGGGAAGTGTCTGATGTGTGATCCAATACAACAGCTAGCAGAGTGATCTTGTTTGTTGTGTACTAATCTTGTTGTGTTTCAAATAATAATAATAATAATAATAATAATAATAATAATAATAATAATAATAATAGAGTAAAATAATAAATAACCTTGACTCAAGTATGAGCCTAGGGGGACTTTTTCAGCCTAAAAAAGGGCAGAAAATTAGGCTTATACTTGAGTATATACAGTACTTTGGACTGGGATATATGGCAGTGTAGACTCAGATATTCCATTTCAAAGCAGATATTGTGGGTTATTCTGCCTTGATATTCTGGGCTATATGGCTGTGTGGAAGGGCCCAAAGAAACCTAGAGCTCCTCCTAGACTCAGGATATAACACTGAGACACTAATTGTGTCATTCAAAGGCTCCCCTTCTTTTCATATTCTCACCTTGCATGAGCAATGAGCCTCTGGTTTCTTTTCTGGTTCATGAGCAATATGTGTTAGTTTATTTTCCGATTCATGAGATATATTTCTGTAGTTTCATTTCTGGATGCATCAGTACTAAAACATAAAACAATGAACAAAATGAATCCAATGGTCCAATCGGCTTCTTGTGGCATTTTAATCTTTTTTGGCTATAGTTTGCTGTTGTCACAATGAATGGCGGCAGAGTAAACTTCAAGGAATTGTGATGAGATGGAACAAATGGGTTTTATGCTACTTTGTGAACTCTCATGCAACAGCTAGCAGACGGTGCGTCGCAAAAAAGCTCAGAAAGAGCGTGGGTATATATATACTGTAGAATTAATGCAATCTGACACCACTTTAACTGCCCTGACTCAACGCTATGGAATCAAGGGAGTTGTCATTTTATCAAGTCTTTAACTTTCTTTTTGCTATCCCTAACAAAGACAGTCAACTACACTCCCACCCTGGACTTTCCACAGATATATAAACCCAATTTTCCTAGTTTCCAACAGACCTCACAACATCTGAGGATGCATTCCATAAATGCAGGCAAAACGTCAGGAGAGAATGCTTCTAGAACATGGCCATACATCCCAAAAAATCTACAACAACCCAGTGATTCCGGCCATGAAAGCCTTTGATAATACAGTCAACCACACTGTTTTTATCCCTAGATTCCTACATTTAATTCTTCTCTCCTTCCAATTACAACATCTGAGATGATGAGGCAGTGTGTACCTACACTATAAAATTAATGCAGTTTGACACCACTTTAACTGCCCTGATTCAATGCTATGGAATCAAGGGAGTTGTCATTTTACCAAGTCTTTAACCTTCTCTTCGCCATCCCTAAC